CCACTTGGGCCATCTCGCCTTTTTCATTCTATGATATTTAATAAACTAACCATGAAGAGACTTCTTCCTGAACACTGAAATGGGACAGTGTAATCTGGTGGCATTTGTCTCTTTCAACTTGGCGGTGAATGCTGGGGGCCGGTGTCACTCAGGTTTGGCAATTAATAGAAATCTGGCCCTGGAATTTGGGGTTGAAACATTTGCGGCTTTTTAAACGTGGCAGTGCACTTACATTTTCCGTCAAAAGTCGATGCCTTTTGGGTCAGAGGATTTGGTCGAAGACTGATCTTCCTCCTATCTGGGCTAAGGCGGCTTGGTAGTACCTCAGCCCGCGTACAACCGTGATTTTACGGTAGCGAAGCATCAGTGTTGAACACTGACGTAGTGTCGATGATGACTGAGCAAAGGTATCCACCACATCTGACCTCACGTGCCTGATGGTGTACCAAGATAGTCAATGACGGTACATAAACGAAACATTGTATTCAGAAATCCGTAAGCTTGTTCCGAAGCTTTCCACCGGCGCAGAACATGAAGCAAAGCTATCTCTTTTGCATCTGATGGGTTGGAAGCATGTGTTGGTAGAACATACCTGCGCTAGTTTAAAGTTTTTCATTGTCACGGGCCCATAACCAAGATGTAACGTGGAAATCACTTCGCCGGACGCATAAACAAACTGACCACTCAGGATTTTATTTCGAGTGCATCTTCTCAACTAGATTTGGTGCAAATTTATTTACTTTGGGTGGGCGAAAGTCTCAAGATATTCACCCAGACATTACGTCCCCGAACGAACGGTTTGGAAGTTCGTGTTCAGTCATTGAAAAAAAGCATCTGACTCGTGACACATCGAAATTATCGCTTGAAAAAGATATTGGGTCACAAAGCGCATCGTGCGGGATAAATTCATACTCTCTCGGACATTGGTTAGCTCACAGAATACACCTAAGCCTCGGAAGTAGATTCATTCATTTTGTTCTCATTGACGAAATCGGGTCCCAGCAGAAGAAAGACTCTGATTACTACTGATTGTTTCCCCAAATTGTTAACTGCAGGAGTTCTAGGAAACAGGCCACAGTGTAAAGGCTAATCTGGAAGAAATGATTGAAGAGTTCGTCTCAATCGAAAGTGAGGAGTTCGAACCACAGTTTCCGCTATGCAAATTTCCTTATCCTGAGGTAAAACTCATTGATGCCGGCTCCTAGAATCTGATGAGTGTAAGTGCATGTTTGTACGGCGGATGGAGATACACATTTCCGCTTCAGTCACAATCTTGTGATCGCTTCCCCATTTCGGGATCTCTACGCACACTTTTATGCATCGTACATGGCGCTGAGTGTTCTTTCTTGCCAATAACTTTCACCTAAACCTGTATGACATCGTGTGAATGATGTGTCAGCCTTGAGTGTGCTAGCGCAAACTGCGTTTTGAAAAGCATTGAGCACTGATTTTCTTTTCTCAGGTGCTGGTCTTTACACATGTGTTGTCATGGCATTCTTACGTGTGCTTGAGATCACTTCGCCTGACTGAAAAACCAATGGTTGCACGCCTTCGAATGGAACGTGTTAGGGTCCCCCATATGGGACTTTGGATCACGCGTAGGTTTGATGACCCCGAATTGTGTTCGAAAGAGGGGAGCGAAATTGCACAAGTTCGCGGTGTTAACAAGCACGAAAGTTCGTTAATGACTGGCACAGGACACTGTCAACGTCTGCAGCAACAATGAGCGGAATCTTGGCTTGTCCTCGCCTTTTCCGAGGACAACCGGGTGATTCACATTGGCGGGGCGATTACGTAGAAATCACGGCAGAGCAAGTCAGAGCAGGCCTGGCAGACGGGGCACGAACGCGTATGGGCAAATAAGTCAGTCACGCATTCACATGCCAGTGTTGGACGGGGATGCCTTCGCGGCAAGGCGAATGTCGGGGGGCAAAAGTACACGGGCGGAGTAAACAATCCAACCACAACTCGACGATGCAGTTGATACACATTCAAACGGTAGGCCCCCGGTATCCTGCTCAGACTAACGTGGCCCCACTACGGTATCCAAGGTTTCTGGGAACAAGTAACCTTAATGACGCATCTCACACAATCGACTGTGACTGTTGAGTCGTTGAGCTAGTAATTGTTTTCCGAAAACTTTGCAAGTAACACAGTGGTTTGAAATGCTCTTGCTCGGTTCGTAGCGGATGAATACCTACTAATGCCACTGACCATAATGCTTGCACCTCGACGGTAGCCGATGCTCCGATTAGACTGAGAGGATCTCGGAACCACAAGCGCTTGAGATGAGGCAACCTGGAGGTTCAACAAACCATAATCCTGCTTGATTACAGAGCTACATATGCACAAACAGTATGATGCAAGTACAATTAGTCGTGAACGCGGCCAGGGGCTCTAATAATACCTAACTTTCGTCCACTTCTAAGCATTGGTACATGAAAATATAAAGCTAACAAGCCCCACGGTCACGTGATCTGTTGAAGCAAGACTTTCAGTAGGCAACCCAACACTAACTAGCCCATTATTGCCAGTGACAGAAGATATCAAGAACCATATCAAGAACCTGAGTATATAAACTGTCCTGCTCGAGAAAAAGGAGCATACACAAAGAAATCTCGAATGCAATCAAAATGCTCGGAAAGAATATCAGAAAAGTCTGAGTAGATAGTTTACAAAATGTACGCACGTACAGATGAGACAGACAGGCTACGTTGTGTTTACAGCAGTCAACAGTTTGTGTTTTCGTTTGATCAGTCGTTTCCGTTGACGCTTGGTCAAACGTCTCAAGGCAATGTTGGGTTTGCGTAGCTCTTGTAAACAAGGGCGCTTTGCACTGTTCGGCTCAACAGTGTCCAGTTTGTGCTTGGTTTTATTAGAATCGTCTCCTCTTCGCCTCAGTTTACTAGAAGAGGGCATCCGACCGGATGGGATCTGAGATATCCAGCTGTTGAAGTTTACATCGTCTGCGGAACACAGCGTACCTGGCGGTACCGCGGCTACGTGGCGCATATACACAGTGACGGGTACGGGTTGTTTCACGTTTGATAAAGAGTTTGTTTGTGTTACTGTTTCGATGAACATAACCATGGGTGGAGGGGATGAAAGCGCAGGCAGGTAAAGCTGTGATTCTGGATGAATTAGAAAATAACACGTGGGTGAGGTGGGTTGGGAGGTGGAAGAATTGGCCAGAAGATAGACAGACTGGCGAGAGTTTGTACCAAGCACGCTGGAGACTCCGTTGCCATGAGGGATATGTGTATCTGGATCAGCTAACAAGGCAACCTGGAAGTAAACAAGAGGGACAGTCTTCTTGAATGGCTCAATAACGAATGCTAAACAAGTAATCAGAAATTTGTTCGGTGAATTAAAGGGAAATGTACATTTCACTGGTCAGATAGGCATAAATTACAACGGTGAATTGTTGTATTCTCTACCATTCAATCAATTTGGGATGTTTTTCTTGATCTTGTAAAAATGTCCTGAAGTCATTCAGGTGTAACACCCTTCCGGTGCCTAACTGCCACGCCACCCGAAGGAAGAACGAGGGTTGATATACTGCCAGGTTGCCCAAGCCTAGACAGGGGAAGTCGAGAGGCAGAGGTCGGGTTCGAACCACGGATCTTCCGGTCAGTTAGTTCGCGCTCTAACCACTTGGGCCATCTCGATACATCACCATAACGAATTTGACGAACAGGCCAACGGTCACCTGCAGGAACCCGAGCTACGAATATTTCGGTACCTTTCCAGGAGCTCTAGGGTTAAAGAATCCAGCGACACGGTTTCCTGTTCACTTAGACGAGGAAATCTAAGTGCCTGTGGAGATACAGTTAGAAGGATTTGGGATATGTTGTAGGCATGACATGCAGTATAAGACGGCGAAATCAAGCACATCAGCTGACAAGCTGTCAAAATGGAGGGACAAAGACTTTGACCATCGTGTTGAGTCTGTCGCAGAGACGATATCCAAAGCGAGATAAAAAATGTCTTGAATTCAGAGAAGCATCGGCTACCAAAATGGACAACAACTCTTATCGTTCTCTAGGAAAGACACAAATGGTGGCTGGACTGGACTAATCATCGGTTCAACGACGGTCGTGGTGGTGGGCTTTGCAGCGTGAGCACTTTCGTGGAATTAAAGAATTTATGCACAAGCGTGAACATACGCTGCAGGACTTTTGAAATACGACACCTGAGGATGACCGATATTAACGTACCTGATCTTTAAATCCGGCTTGAAGAAAGGCGCGGGTAATGGTGAACAATTCAGATCCACACGAACGGAGGAAGCCGGTAAGTCCAGCACCCTTGGCAACTTCTTTCAACTGAGAACGAACGCGCACGGCAGTCTCTAGACGGGCTCGATTGAGAAAATTTGAGCGACACCAAGTTAGACGGGAAGGTTGTGCGTTGGAGGCATCGGCTTGATCTCGTCTTTTCGATGACTTGACATATCCACGATAGACTTGTAACAAGCTGGCCAGGTCACCATCTGGATGTCGAAACCGTTCCTGAGTCTACAGTCAATCGGTCAGGCGATACAGAAGAGGGGAACGTGAGGAAAGATGTTGGGTTGATTAATACACAGGCAAGCATTCGACAGAATTGGATAAGCACAAAGTCAGGAAAAACTAAAAAAGAGTGACCAAAAGGAAGGAAAAGAGAGATTCGGAACTCAGGAATTCATGATACCCAAGTGCGCAAGTCCTGCTAGCTACGGCAGCAAGTGGATGATTTCGTCGATGACCACGCGAGGATGTTTATAAAAGCGAAATACGTTTATCAGAACGGAAAACATATAGTGCCTGGACGATGCAGCGTGGCGATATCCATCTAAGCAGCTCCCTCCTTGGACCTAAATGACGTCCAGTTATGACATAGGAAGCATCTAAGAAGAAAAGGGTCTATTTCGACTCGACATCAGACGCTGAGATCCAGTTAAATCAAGAGTGCCTCACAGGCTCCCTAAGGCTCTTAATAATTTCAGCGATAAAACTTCACAAAGAGAGGACATTGTAGCGTTCATCATAAAACCTGTGTGACCTATATAAAATTCTTTTAGTTGAAAATACCAACACAGCGTGTATGCCGAGGAGGCGAACACCGCACATCACGTGATCTCCCTGCGTTTGCCTAGAGACCTCAAAAAACATCAACAGCGCAATTGCTATGGGTGCTGTCCAGACCAGATGGGTGAGTATCGGTAATTTAGGCAAATCGGTTATTTATGATGCGGCCTGGCGCAAGACACCTGCCTACTCTGATTTAATTCACTGCATTGCTGATGAGGTTTCTGAATGAATGAATTCGTGGTTTTGTGGTAGTGAAGCACGGAAGGTCAGCATTAGTGCTATTGTCAATGGTGATGTTGATGAGAATAGGACGAAAGAGAACAGTACATAGCTTGGAGTCTATGCATGCTTATACAATATTGGAAGTTGATCTGATAAACAAGTATACATAGGCACATAAATCACAGTCGATCATTGTATTCATTCTTTGATTGCAATCAAAGGTTCCTGTCACTCCAAATGGTGACAGCTTTGCTAGAGCCAACAATTTTGGACGAAGTTGCTCGCGGAAATCGAACGGCACCCCAATGAATGTCGGCGTATTTACACGCTAACGGTTGCCCAGCCGATGACCCTGTTACGACATTGGTATCACTGAATCAAATCGAACGTCATGGTCATCCATCCATCCATCCACTCTCACTCACTCACTCACTCACTCACTCACTCACTCACTCACTCACTCACTCACTCACTCACTCCATTCATTTGGTTACCCAGCCCATATACTTTTGATCTACACCTATTTTGTTCATACAAACTAGGCATTCACCTTGCCACAAAAGCCGTCGCGACCGACACTGGTACAGTAGCATGCATGTCTGTGTGTGAATGTACGCGGCCGACCTACTTACCCAGGTGTCCCTGCCCCGCCTGCTGAGCCCGCTCCGACTTGTTCTGTCGTGATTTTCGAGTAATCACACCGCCCATCAGAATCACAAGACTGGCCTCAGAAGGGACTAGGGCAACTCAGGCTACCGAGCCAACATTCTGCCTGCTATTTTCTGGTGTGTGTGCCTTGAAACTGCACTGTATCGGTAAGTGACTGCGCACTTGGTGACGCCACGAACGCTGGCAGCCGAAGTTTGTTCACTTTGTGTAAACAGTACTGTAAACTTTCGAACCCTTTTTCACAGTTAGGTTTGTCAAACCTTCGCCTGACTTAAAGTCCTATATTGGGAACCTCAATTCCAAAAAGGGACAATACCCACCCCCTCGTGGACAGCAACGATCTTTTCAGACAAGGAATGTCACCAGTGTCCGGGAAGAGGCCAAAAGGACACCTAACTGCGACAAAAAAATTTAAAGTGCAGTTAGAATCGGTGAGGGGAGCAGCGAAACCCTAGTGAATAAGAGGGGAATTTTCAGGGACTCACCTCCCCAAATTGTTCGCGCTTTTCTACTGGGACGTAGAACACGGGGCTGACGTATAACATGCTGATTACACTGAGCACCTCAATGAGGCAGCCCAGGTAGGCTGCAGACAGTACGGTACGTGAGAACCGAGGATCAAGTGGGAATGCGGACATGATTGATCCCAGTGGTGTCAGCTGTTCCGGAAACGATGGAGGACAAAGGAGGGAAATGCTGAGTTCTGAAACATACACACCACTAGGGAACGAACGTTAACGCTAGCACAACTGTATGGCTCAACAAGAAATATGACCCTAGATGAAAAGACATTCGCAAACGGGGAATCAAAAGTAGCGTTCAGCTGTAACACCCTTCCGGTGCCTAGCTGCCATGCCACCCGAAGGAAGCACGAGGGCTGGGATACTGCCAGGTTGCCCAAGCCTAGACAGGGGAAGTCGAGTGGCGGAGGTCGGATTCGAACCACGGACCTTCCGGTCAGTAAATTCGGGCTCTAACCACTTGGGCCATCTCGCCCCGGGAATCAAAAGTGAACGGTATCATCCGTATGGGACAAAGAAGAAGACCGAATAATACAAGCTGACACATACACTGATCCTAAGATCCATGGATGGTTTCCGGTCAACCATAAAAAACAGCAGATAGCCAAGGAATACCTGGCATATCACACTTGGCCACATATTAGTCGTGGAAACAACAGTTCGATGCTCTAAACGGGGTGTACTGCGAAAGCAGTCGCGTGCCCAAATCGAAAGTCGGACGGCAACTACGACCCCATTTGTGCGCCATCACAAAACACGACCACACTCTGAACGTGACCATCACTCAGCTCTGATTGGTTGTGATGACCGCCGTACTTGAATTCTCCAACTAGCATCGTTCGAGAGGCTGCTTATTCGTGGTGGCTGGTTACGTACTAATGGATTTCAGGCGTAGATGAAAAACATAAACACTGTGGTTGTCGTGCGTACCGTTTCGTCAACCTCAAGGTAGAGTATGATAGTAGTCTTGACTGGGAACTTCAAACAAGAAGCCATTCCTAGTCCCACATCAACAGCGTGGCCACTTTGTGTTGTGTACGGAAGACGGTGGTGCAACTCGTCTCAAAATGAACAAAAGCTTGAGGCAGACCTTTATCGAGAAAGAGGAAAACTATTTCAACTATATTTATCGGGTTATCAAAGAATGTCCCACAGGAATCAGCCGGAATCTTCATGAGGAGGAGGGAAGTGCCGAGCTAAAAATGCTCAATTCTGATTGGTGGATATCCTGGCCATAACGGTTCGTGACACATCCATCCAATCGATGTAATGTTCGATGGTTTGAGACGAATCGTCTCCAGACACTGCGAGTAATAAAATGATCAATTTCCTTGCGAGCAAGGTCGAAGAGCCGAGAAGTATCGAGCATCCGTTTCGTTCTCACTTGGAATAAACACATACACATCAGATAAGGTATCCGAAATGTGGTATGTCCTGTCCAGGGGCGAGAAAATCCCACTACTGATCGGTCAACCATGGCTGATTGACGAAATGTTCACATACTATCCGAAAGGATTCTAGGCATCCTCGAGATTCGTGGGACCCCAGAACTGTTGATTATACCGAGAACAGGGAAGTTTCACGGATGTTCAGCATAGATTGACTTTAGGTTGCAGTATGAAAGGGCGAAACGTCACCATCAGTGCGTGTCAGTGGCACGGAGGCGCAATCAACTTGATGAACACCTGTGGGGACTCTGATCATGCCTTTCTGTAGTAACGGTATTTTCCTCAGCTTAGTTCTCGGTCTGAGCCTCCCAAGCTAGCGTTCACGTCAAAACAAACACCAAAGGTGCAAAAGGTCTATTAACGCCCAAAACGAAATCAGGAACAGTTGTACAGCGCTTCGTATATATAGCGTGAGCGGCTATAACTTTCTGGAATTTCTGACGCGTTCTGGAGCTCCATTGGCAACCGGCATTTGGCCAATACTGGGTCATGATTGGCTGTTGGGTCCAGATTGTTGACCAATCAGATCTCGTCTTGATGCCGGACCGGCAAGCGTCCCGAATTTTGGGCCAACCTCGAGCGGGCCAGGCTTCTCGGCCGTAGCAGCGCCTAAAGACGTGCGGTATAGTGGGGTCCGCGTCGATTCCTGCCTAACACTTCCGTTCAAATGTTACAAGCTTTCGATGCCTAGTTGCCGTACCACCCGATGGAAGGCTGTCAAAGCCCAGACAGGAGCAGTGAAAATGCCGAAGTTGGGACCGAACCACGGACCCTTCGGTCAGTAAATTCACATACCTTAACTACTTAGCTATCCCAAGCCTCTATCCGATGTTGCTTTGCTTTTCGGGTCTGCGTGGAATGCTGACATTCCAAGTAGTCCGCAAAAAGCCAATTGATGTAAAAAGCACTCTGCCCTCCACCGACTCACAGTCAGACGAAAACTTTCACTTGGATACTGGCTTCATTTAACCGTGCTTCACCGTGAAGCGTGCACACATTCCAGTACTAATGACCAAACGAACAAAACTACCATGTGATCACCAACAGAAGCAAAATCAAGTAATTATGTACGAGATCTTTCCAGAACACTGGTTCCTCCATTCAGGTAGAACATCCTGCACAATAATGCTCGAATAGACGGTGCTGGAATGGAAACGGTGCTTAGTATCGATTGTTTTGGTCAACCAATTGTCCACACACGATCAATATACCTTGAGTATAATGTGAAAACAAACACAGATGAGAAGAAATAAAAAACTTCCACGATAAGTTATGCACCGAATGAGGAGGATAGCATGTGAACTGGTTCGGCCGAGAGGCGTCATCCAGAGTCCCAATCAACGCTGTTGATAATAGCCCCCCCTCCATGTGGTCTTTGTAAAAAACGGCACAGTCAAGACAAATTTCCTTGTAACATCATACGGATGCCGGCACCGATGAGTGGACGAACGCAGTTGCGAGCCTATCCGTCCATGCACACAAATCACGTAAACCTAGCAGAGAAAATGTTGAATAACAAACGACAGCCTCCCTTTGGTGTACGTATGTATGTATGCAATGCGAGCGTAGAAGTAAGGAAAGGCGCTCCACAGTGCCCTACTTCATACGTTGCCAATTGTAGTTTCAACAGTCTGACATGCAGGAGAGTAGTGGGTACCCGACTAAGTGAGCTGACCATAACTGCCGCCTGGAAGCTTTCGTCCGACAAGATTCTCTAAATACCACAGTCATATTCATTAAGAACAGCTTCTGCCAAAATTTATCTGAATAGCTGTTTCGGGTTTCAGCTACTCGTGTATTGGGCAATGGAAGATTAGATTAAACTTACCTGTAGTTGACGGGTTAAGGGAACAGAAGATCCAGAGGGATTGACAGATTTCGTATCGGAGGGGGAAGATTCGTCGACCGGTGAGACAGCACCCAGTCGTTCTAGCAAGTGCACGCCAGCAGTTAAGGAGGCTTCTTTGGGGCGGGAAATCCAAGGAAATTTCTGTGGGACCTGATCAAAGACAAAATATGCGCAAAACATGCAGTGTTGGATAAAAAACAAGCCATGAGAAGAGTGAACAGAGCGAGGGCACAGTAAAACCAGATAGCTCAATGGTTGGGGTACGAAACTACCGACTGAAAGGTTCGCGGTTCGACAACAACCCCGGCTTTTCGATTGCGAGATGGCTCAAGTGGTTAGGGCGCGAATTTACTGACCGGAAGGTCCGCGGTTCGAACCCGACCCCTGTCTCTCGACTTCCCTTGTCTAGGTTTGGGCAACCTGGCAGTATACCAGCCCTCGTGCCTCCTTCGGGTGGCATGGCAGCTAGGCACCGGAAGGGTATTACAGCCGAGATTTTTTTGATCGCTCTTATCTACGGTGGGGTAACCTGGCAGTATTTCAGCTCTCATATCTCCTTCAACAGGGCAAAGTGCGGCAAAAAAGTACCGCAGCTAAACAATTTCACTGTTGACTAAACACTAACTTCCGAGTACGGACCATTACACAAAGTTGCTCAACTGGAACACCTAACGGTGTTCTCACAGGAGAGGTTTCAGCAGAATCGACAGCTTGCCCGCACCACAAGAAGGACGTGCAAAAGAGAATTGTGTCAAAGGATAAAAAATATTCGTTTAGCTGCAGCACCCTTTCGATACCTAGCTGCCATGCCACACGAGGTAGGCACTAGGGCTGGGATACTGCCAGGTCGCCCAAGCCTAGACAGGGGAAGTCGAGTGGCAGGGGTCGGGTTCGAACCACGGACCTTCCGGTCAGTAAATTCGCGCCCCCGCCACTTGGTCCATCTCAGAGGCCCATGTCAAAGGATACAGAGCTACAGCTTAGAGGACAAAAATGGTGATAATGTAATCATGATAATGTCTCCCAAACTGGCTTCCTCAACAGAAAAACCAACAAGGGCACAACGACGGCCCATGTGAAGCCGGTCGCGTTTACAGTAGATGTGACATTCTGGAAATTCGTAACACTTTTGGACGCAACATTAGCAAATAGCACTCAGCGGATATATGAACGTGATTGGCTGTTGGGTCCACATTTTCGACCTTGAAACTGGATCAGCAAGCGGCCCGTTTATCCAAAAATCACGTGTGGGTTAGGCTTACTGGCGCCCAATTGCGAGATGCCATGGGATTCCGCCTAACAGGTATGCAGCCTGATCGCTCTCAACAATTTAACAATCAGATGGTGGATAGTGTAGGAAAATCGTCCTAGAAAATTCCGTTCGAGAAGAGATTACCCCTACGGATAGTTTCCTGTTAGCTAGAACCTCCAGGAGGGGGACCGAAGTTTCTCTGGCGGCTAGATCATGGGACGATTATTGTAGCGCCTATTAACCTGGGGGGGGGGGGTGATTCGAACCCACTACATGACACAGGTTTCAGCTGTAACATGGTTGCCATGCCACCCGTAGTACACCCGAAGACTGAGATACTACCGGATGATCCAGGTCAAAATAAGGACAAATCGGGTTAGGAACACAGAGCTCACGACCAAAACTTCGCACCTCAGCGCCATCTCTATCAAGCACCGAACACTAAGTGAGCAAAACAAGCCATACCTTGTGATTCATGGATATCAAATTCAGCAGAACGCCAGCCAATGGGGCCCGCAGAAGCTCGGGCTGTATGTGCAGACTCATTTCCTTATACTCTGCATCCGTGTAGAGGCGAAGACATACACCAGGGGCTTCACGTCCCGCCCGACCGGCACGTTGCCAAGCTTGGCTTTTGGAGATGCGTTGCACTCGGAAAGTTTCCAGTCCGGTAGTACAGTCCCAGAATCTATGAAGAATGAACAAACAACGGGGGAAACAGGACGAACGTGCAGCGTCTACTTATAATCCAAAGAAAACAAGTCATCATCATAATCCCCTGTGTCAGCGGAAGCCAACGTTGCGACGCAAAATGCCTTTTCCAAGAGCAACCGTCTTCTTTAAACAGACCAAACAAGGTAACCTTCTAACTTGAGCAATAGACTCAAAGCACTGTCGTACAAGAATGTGTCTACACATACGCAACACTAGTACATGCCCATAACACTAACATTGATTAAATTGAAAAAGCTTGGGCATATTTAGGCAAAAAAATGTTCAAAAAGATGAGCAGCCACATGGACTTTGGTTAAACAAGTGCGGGGACAGTTTATCGATCACCATGGAGGAAACACAGATCTTGCTGAAGACAGACTCCACAAAAGTTGCATGTGGTGAGGGGGACAATGTGAACACCAGACTCCATGTCAGTTTAGGTCAACCTCGGGGAGAGAACTACTCGGACTTGTTAAAAAGAATTCCAAATCTTGATCAACTTCGCGTGTATGACTCAGACATCGTTTCCTCTCAAAGTTGAAATCGAAGGTCACCGAACACGTTCTGTTGGAACGTTACAAAAAAAGAGGTTAGTGTAACGATCCTCTATCGAGACAGATAAGATTTGGTCCACGTCTATGCGTCGAAATAAAATTCACGTGATCCAGAAGCAGGTTAAGTAACCAAACCTTCCCTGAGTGAAAATGCTTGGAGCAATTATAATCGGCCAAGCTTTGACACTCCTTGCATGTAGTCGCCTAGTTCCGACGTGCTAATTTTGGTGCGTGTGCCTTTTGATCAAGTCAAGCCCGGTAGGTTGTCGCTCGATTGTTGTAGCTGCGCGTTGCACATCAACCAAGCTTGGCGAACAAGTCAGCAGCCAAGCGCACAGGTTCGGAACCATAACTTACTTGATGAATTTCGGTACCATTCTGCAGCCTTGAGTCTAGCAACAGAAAACTGCGCACTTATAAGAAATGCGTAAATGATAATTAAACCACAGACCAGCTATGACGGTACAAGGAATAACAATGATCCAGAACACCAATTACGGATCACCATATTTGTATCAGGCAAGTACATTCTAATTAACTGGACACTGGTTACCTGAACAATGATTCGGACAAAATAACTTGTTAAAAGGCATTCGGACAGCGTTGTAGGATTTGATGATCAGTTACATGGGACATTATCATTCGGCTCGTTTATTGAAGATCCTACTGGATATTGGGACATCGAGGATACTATTTTTCAGATAGAAAGATGAACAAATTGTTGAAGCATACATTGGTCGAATTTTTCTCCAGAGGGGACCCGAAAATACAACAACCACGCCTGTTTGACATACAAACCTTTGCAGGACAAGCCGACTGTCTGGTCACCACGATTACTCGTGAAAGGCGAACAAAACGATGACGAAGAAAGCAAAGACCTCAGTAAACACTCAACAAGCAGAGAAACACAAAACGAATCTATTAGCCGGTAGATGGCCCGCATAGAAATTCCCCAGACTACTCACTTGATCTTGGCATAACCGGAGTCGATCACATAACGAATCCCAGGGATAGTGATGGAGGTTTCCGCCAGATTTGTACTGACAATAACTTTGCGGCAATCCTGTAGGCAGACAGAGAGTACAAACACAACGTAGTTTCATGGCTGGCGGACAGTGTGAAACCAAGGAATAAGATATTTACTTCTACAAAGTGTGCGGAGTTACTAGAATGGAAGACCACGAACAACCTGGAGCATTTATGCACCGCATTGCATCATAATGTAAATAATATGGGAAGCGTAAAAAAGTGAAACGGATTTCTTAACACAGAAGGGTCTCTTATATAGGAGACGACTGAAAAGTCTAGTACTAGAGTGTATCTTGTGATTAGAACTTCATACTATCAGGGGAAGATTGTGAATGTATTCGAAATGCCTGACCCACAATGCAAACGCGGCTAGGTGGCACGACTGGTGCGATAACGAAATGTATACCGGTTGGGCGCTGGCTATGTATTTAGCTTGCATCCCTATGCTCTTGGTATAAGGTATGCAACAGCTGAAGATTCTTTGCACAAATCGGTTAATCAACACTGACACCAACATTGGTGCTTCACAGCTGGACCGTCAAAGGCAAGGAGTAGGCTCAACGTATACTAATGGTTGGCTGACAAGCGTCTTCGAATGGGCCCGTCCCATAGAACCCGCGCGCATAATGGATAATGCGCTGAAGCATGTGCATTCGCCTGAACGTCCTGTAGGGAATAAGATCGACAGTGGACAAGAAGGGTCAGTTCTAAAGGTCAATTGGTGGCTCACAATTATCGATTCAGCTGTGTCCGGAGGCCAGCTGTCACTAATAACCGAACATCACATCATTTGGACGGATGTATCACGTGCAGGACGCGGACCAAGCGAAGGCATGCGCTGACTGGTCAGAATGCCAGTCAATTCGGATCGAACATCCTTCACTCGACGCTTCTCGCCCCCTCACGGAGATTCCAGCACGACCTTGTGGAACACCCTGTAATTACCCCATAAATAAAGTTGTAATAATTTTCTCCTGTCTCCATAAAAGGCAGTGTAGAGTTCCCGTGCCTTTCCATATACCATAGTGGGTGGAGAACGAACCCAAGGAACTGATACAGGGTTGCACGGTCGTCCATTGAGTCACAACCCTGTGTGAAATCGAAAGCATGAGCACCACTCATGAGACACATCGTTGGTACAACTAGGTGACTAACTAATGCCAAACACCCTTCACCTAGGTCCGCGCAGAGATGGTTACCGTTATAAACTACGTTCAATGTTAGCGAGGGTGGTTTGGAAACAGCGGTCAGCCTGACAACACGAACCGGAGCCTTTTCGTGAAAAACTGCTTACGGCCCCTTTAGGTAAGTGAGATGGGCACAACTGAAGAGTTAGCACTCACGGCGTACACAGAAGCTCGTCTGATGGTCTGTACCACTCACAAGACGTACTCTGGGCACACGAATGACTTTGTGCAGCTTGATTTGGAGAACGATGGTCACAGAAAGTCATTTTAGGCACTATTATAAGTCCAGCATCTAGAGGTATTAAAACCAGGATTTAGCGACACAGACTGAAACAACCTAGCAGTTAAACTAGTGTCCGGTTCGGTTAGACTGGGGACCTGTATCATTAACAAACCAGACCGAGAATACACCTACATAGATTTCTGTAGTTAGGCATGATTTGAGTTGATTCGGTCCACAAGATGATGGCCACCTCGCACCATCGCGGACTGAGTGCACCGAATCGCTCAGTGTGCTAGACATTTTGGTAGGTTTTGGTCGGTATGGCGACCGAAAGTCGCTTCTGTCGCCGTCACACGCTTAGCTTCTTGACAACTTCGGGAACCTAAGGTGCATCTGGTATACTTACTTTATTCGCCGACGTCTCGTCGATGAGTCACTACTTGTCCTCTGGTGGCTGGTCAATTCAGTGCTACCAGTAGAAATACGAAAGTAGTCGCTGCAGATAAAGCTAGTTCGGTCTGTAGGACCGATAGGTCCGATGTCATCCAGGCTCTCTGGCAAGGAGCTGACTTAAGGAACGGCAGCTCGTATTCTTTCCTTTATGCTTCCGAAATTCACTTCCTGCAACTCGCGTCAGCCGTTTTTACATTTCTGACCTGTACTGAGAGCCTATGTTTGCCAGAGTGAAGTTTCTTCGTACTCAGCTGACCATACACAAATGGCATCAGAGTCCAAATCTTGTCTACTGGGCAAACATGTAAGGCATGCCAGTACGGTGTACTACGAAACTCGTTCCCCACACGACGTCCAAGACAAGCTCCGAGCAAGCATTACAACGGTATTTTCTCCAAGGACTTATTGCAAGCCATCGCTTTCAACGGGAAGCCATCCCACCAATGTCGGTGTATCATCTATTACGCTGACAATTGAAATTCCCCACGTTTATTTTGTCCCCATTTGTAACCCTGTTGTATCGCAGGTGGTCGTATATGGGTTACGCCTGCACTGAACCTGCCAGACTACGCGATAGGGAGAAGACAGAGAACTCGGGACACGGCTGTATTGTCAGGACAAAACATACAGAGCGTCTGCGTAACATATAGGATGACTAAATGGCCAAATATGGTCGTTCACTTGTTCGTTCCGTACAGCCAATGGCGGTGTTTCGGTCGTGAACACTCTCAGACCCACTACGCTGGTCCTATGTTGCTAAGCCACTCTTGGTGAGCTCCGCCAACGCACCTGCCTTCTGGACGTGTCGTACCGATGGTGACCTCGGGGATGCGTCACCCTCTGCGCATGTACTTTTTCCATATCTGGGTGCATCCTGACAAACCTCCGCCCCAATTTTTGTGTTTAGTGTGTGCATATGAACTGACGTTTGTTAGTCCTTACCACTTCACCCATTTGGCTTTGAGGTCATCTGGCCATTTGTAGCCGACTTTGTACACGTGTAAATTTCGCACGTGGGAGCCTGTTCACTCCTTTGGTTTGTACTTTTGTAACCAAGTAGACCATTTACTTTGGACGAGTATCTACTGTCGAGGTTTGTATAATTTGTGAATTTGTCTTACACTAATAGTATCGTATAGAAACTCAGCTCCGACTTTGTTCTGGAAGTCCGCGTTGCTATAAGTCCCCGTGCNTACGGCATTGTTTCTCACACTTCTGGCTAGAGCAGCTGGGGTCAATCCCTCTTAGACACCAACTAGACCAGCACTCCTGTAAATCGGGGAATGAAAATATATAGAACCCCCTTTATGGCGTCCACGGTCTTCTAAGAGAGAAGAATGATGTAAGGCACTCGTCTGCAAATTAAAATCCTTCCATCTATCATTTACGTTCGACATTTAGTTTTACAACAACGGCAGTATAATTGACCTCGGAATGCCGCAAACCTGAATGTGGGAACTTAATGGACAAATGTCATGGCAGGAGTTTGAGGAGACCAGCTAAAACAAGGTAGTCACGAAAGGATTCTCGTTACAGGGGACAAATTTAGAGGTGTAATTACTAGAGGAGACTTTTAACGTGAGGACAGCGTCCAGACTACAGGAACCAACCTCCCGAAGTGATAGGTTTGAGAGATCCCATGAGAGCCATAGTGCTCAGCTTATGGTTGAATAACCGAGCTGAACGGAACGAGTGAACCGCATCAGTGTGGGGAAGATGATTAAGAAATGCTGACAGAAGCATGTGGGGGTTTTAAACTGTTAGCTGTTGTCTGTAGCAGAAAATACTCGGCATTTTCGAAAACGATTCTCAAAACAGTCGATCTAGAAACGGATTCGTTCCTTAATTCAGTGCAGTTTGGGGCTCGGTAGTGTATCTTGGCCCCTCCATTAAAACTACAAAGACATAGTCTTGAATAGCACCCTAAGTGGACTTCCTTCCAGTCTGCTATTTCTCATGTCTAACCTTGAAAAAAACGNGGTCACCAGTTTTTGGAGAAAACAGATCTTGCTGAAGACAGACTCCACAAAAGTTGCATGTGGTGAGGGGGACAATGTGAACACCAGACTCCATGTCAGTTTAGGTCAACCTCGGGGAGAGAACTACTCGGACTTGTTAAAAAGAATTCCAAATCTTGATCAACTCCACGTGTTTGACTTAGACACCGTTTCCTATTTAAGTTGGACAGTTGTCTTGAAATCGAGGGACATCAAACATGTTGTGTTGGAACGTTACAAAAAAGTGGTTAGTGTAACGATAAAATTTGGTCTACGCCTATTAGTCGAAATAAATTTATTTGAATAAACAAACCTTCCCCGAGAGGAAACGGTTCGACCAATTATAAACGACGAAGTCCTCAAATAAGAGGTTATGTGGAGCTTTTCCACTCATCGTAAGTATTCACCTAGTTTCGACATGCTGACGTTGGTCCGCGTGACTTTTGATCAAGCCAAGTCTGGTAGGTTGCCGCTCGATTGTTGTAGCTGCACGTTGGCCGATGATTGGCTTAGCTACCGAGTATTGCACATCACCCACGCCAGTTATGACGGTACAAGGAATGATAATGAGCCGGAAAACCAATTACAGATCACAATATTTGTACGGAGATCAGCCGTCCCTAATAACCGAACACCAAATCATTTGGACGGATGTATCACGTGCAGGACACGGACCAAACGAAGGCATGCCCCGATTGGTCGGCATGCCAGTCAATCTGAGTCAAGCACCTTTGACTCGACGCCTCTCGCCCCCTCACGGAGGTTCTGGCACGGCCGTGTGGAACACTCTGTGGCTACTCTATAAATACAGTTGTAATAATTTTCCTTTGTATCCATAAAGGGCCGCGTAAAACTATCGTGCCTTTTGATATACCGTAGTGGGCGGAGCAAGAAACCAAGGAACCGATACAGAGTTGCACTACCGTACAGCAAGCCACAATATTTGTATCAGGCAAGTACATTCTAATTAACTGGACACTGGTTACCTGAACAATGATTCGGACAAAATAACTTGCTAAAAGGCATTCGGACAGCGTTGTAGGATTTGATGACCAGTTACATGGGACACTATCATTAGGCTCGTTTATTGAAGATCCTACTGGATATTGGGACATCGAGGATACTATTTTTCAGATAGAAAGATGAACAAATTGTTGAAGCATACATTGGTCGAATTCTTCTCCAGAGGGGACCCAAAAATACAACAACCATGCCTGTTTGACAGGACAAGCCGACTGTCTGGTCACCACGATTACTCGTGAAAGGCGAACAAAACGATGACGAAGAAAGCAAAGACCTCAGTAAACACTCAACAAGCAGAGAAACACAAAACGAATCTATTAGCCGGTAGATGGCCCGCATAGAAATTCCCCAGACTACTCACTTGATCTTGGCATAACCGGAGTCGATCACATAACGAATCCCAGGGATAGTGATGGAGGTTTCCGCCAGATTTGTACTGACAATAACTTTGCGGCAATCCTGTAGGCAGACAGAGAGTACAAACACAACGTAGTTTCATGGCTGGCGGACAGTGTGAAACCAAGGAATAAGATATTTACTTCTACAAAGTGTGCGGAGTTACTAGAATGGAAGACCACGAACAACCTGGAGCATTTATGCACCGCAATGCATCATAATGTAAATAATATGGGAAGCGTAAAAAAGTGAAACGGATTTCTTAACACAGAAGGGTCTCTTATATAGGAGACGACTGAAAAGTCTAGTACTAGAGTGTATCTTGTGATTAGAACTTCATACTATCAAGGGAAGATTGTGAATGTATTCGAAATGCCTGACCCACAATGCAAACTCGGCTAGCTGGCAAGACTGGTGCGATGACTAAATGCATGCCGGTTGGAGGACCAGCTATGCATTTAGCTTGCATCCCTATGCTCTTGTTATACGGTACGCTACAGTTGAAGATCCTTTGTACAGATTGGTTAATCAACACTGACAGCAACATTGGTGCTTCCTGACTGGTGCTTCGCAGTTGGACCACCAAAGGCAAGGAGTAGGTTCAACGTATACTAATGGTTGGCTGACATGCGTCTTCGGATGGGCCTGTCCCATCAAATTACGGTAATGGACCCACGCGCACAATGGATAGTGACACGTCTGGTTTGCGCTGAAGCATGTGCATCCGCCTGAACGCCCTGTGGCCGGTGCAGGGAATAAGACCGACAGTGGACAGGAAGGGGCAGTTCTAAAGTTCAACTGGTGGCTCACAGTTCTCCATCTAACTGTGTGAACCTGAAAGCATGAGCACTACTCATGAGACACATCCTTGGTGGTTTGTAAACAACCCAAACCAGAGCATTTTCGTGGGAAACTGCTTACGGTCCCTTCAGGTAAGTGGGGTAGGCACAACTGAAGAGTTGGCACTCACGGCATATGCAAAAGCTCGTCTGATGGTTTGTACCACTCAGAAGACGCGCTCTAGGCACACGAATGGCTTTATGCAGATTGATTTAGAGAACGATGGTCACAGAAAGTCATTCCAGGCACTATTGAAAGCTTAGCACCTCGAGGTATTGAAGCCAGGATTTAGCGACACAGATTGAAACAACCTAGCGGTTGGAATGGTGCCCGGTTCGATTAGACTGGGGACCTGCATCGACAACAACATCTGCATAGAGTTCTGTAGTTAGGCATGATTCGAACTGATTCGGTCCACAAGATGATGGTCACCTCGCACCATCGCGAACTGAGTGCACCGAATTGCTTATTGTGCTTCGGCATTTTGGTAGATTTTGGTTGGTATGGCGACCGGAAGTCGCTTCTGGCACCGTCGCACGCTTAGGTTTCTGATAACTTCGGAAACCTAAGGTGAGTCTGGTGTACTTACTTTATTCGCCGACGAGTCACTACTTTTCCTTTGGTGGCAGGTCAATTCAGTGCTACCAGTGAAAGGAAGAAGGTCTTCGCTGCGGAGCTATTTATTAGAAAGTGCCAGCTAACCAGTTACAGACTATTGGACGGGGAAGCAAAACTCTCATTTGCATCTACAAAAAATGAAATGAACACCCATCTTCTCTTCAATGCTTCTCCCTGAACTTTCCTGGCTATTCATTGACTGTTGCTCAAATCCAAGCAAATGCTACAAAGCGGCTCCACAAATTCCGCAATAAATCTCCCTTTTCCAAGAGACGTAAAGTAAATTTACAAGAAGAAATCATACTATTCGCACACCTCCCCATCAGTAGTACCACCGTTACACCAGTAGAAACACGATAGTAGTCGCTGCAGATCCAGCTAGGTCCGATGACATTCAGGCTCTCTGGCCAGGAGCTGACTTAAGGAACACCAGCTCGTATTATTTCCTTTTATGTCATCCCATTTTGCGCTTTCGATTTCCACTTCCTGCAGTTCACGTCAGTCGTTTTTACATTTTTGACATGTACTGAGGTTTGTTTGCCAGAGTTAAGTTTCTTCGTACTCAGTTGACCATACGTAAACGGCATCAGAGTCCAAATCTTGTCTACTAGGCAAACATGTCAGACATGCCAGTGAGGTGTACGAAACTCGTTTCCCACACGACGCTCAAGACTAGCTCCGACCAAACTTACAACGGCAGTTTCTCCAAGGATTTATTGCAACCTATCGCTTTCAATTGAAAGCGGTCCCACCAATGTCGGTGAATAAAACTGTGGCAGCCGGAACCACTATACGGCCAAATTCCTCTAGAGTGAACATTTTGATTGGTGTCGTCAAATTCCCGTGAGAATCCCTATGGGACTGGTTCTCACATTTCTGGTTAGAGCAGCTGGGGTCAATCCCTCTTAGACATCAACTAGACCAGCAATCCAGTAAATTAAGGAATGAAAATATGTTGAACCCTCTCTATGGCGTCCATGGTCTTCTCAGAGGGAAGAATAATGTAGGGGGTGGAACAGCCTGGCACTCGTCTGCAAATTAAAATCCCTCCATCTACCATCTATGCTCGACATTTAGCTTTACAACAATGGCAGAGTAGCCGACCTCGGAATGCTGCAAACCTAAATGTGGGAAAAATATCATAGCAGGAGTTTGAGGAGACCAGCTCAAAATGGTAATCACAGAAGGGTTCTCGTTAAGGGGGTAAATTTGGAAGTGCAGTTACTAGGGGACACTTTTAACGCGAGGACAGTGTCTAAACTACAAGAAGCCGTATAGAATACACCAGCCTCCTGCAGTGATAGGTTTGAGAGACCCCATCAGAGCCACATGTGGAGAGGGTGCGCGGCTTGTGGTTGAATAATCGAGCTGGACGGAACGAGCGAACTGAGTGAACCAGATCAGTGTGTAGAAGACGATTAAGAAATGCAGACTGAAGCATGTGGAGATCTTAAACTGTTAGCTCAGTTACCAATGTCTGTAGAAAAAAATACTCAACATGTTCGAAAACGATGCCCAAAACAGTTGAGCTAGAAACGGATCTGTTCCGTAATTCAGTGCAGTTTTGGACTCGGTAATGCATCTTGGTCCCTCCATTAAAACTACAAAAGACATTGTCTTGAATAGCACCCTAAGTGGGCTTCCTTCCAGTCTGCCATTTCTCATGTCTAACCTTGAAAAAAACGAGACCGTTATGCGAATATGAAATACCGATGAGCGAAATCTTGGACCCGCACAAGCCGGATGGCAACTGGCAGCTTCAACCCATTTCGCTGCGTTTTGAGGGGTTCCAGTAAAGACCTGGGACCGGACGACAAAAGTCAAAGGCTCTCGGTCACCGATCTGGGAGACTGAAACTAACGGCCGCTCATCGTCAACATAAAAGTTGCTCAGCAATGAAGAAGACATAAAACATAATGAAAGTGACAGTTCTCACGTGCTTACCGATTTGGAAAATGTCAAAGCTTGCATTTGCTTCCCCTGAGGTAAAGCCGCGAACAAGGGGAACACTAACAGCTCAGGTGTTTTATCACTGCCGTTGGTGGATGATCCTGTTTTCCCGTTCTGTCCCAAGCGACGGGCTAGTTGATGGATGAGCGCACAACACCGCATGATCTCCTCTTCTCCTGTGAGAAAGATTAGAATACCGCGATTGGGAGGACAGGTCTTTGATTTGTGAATCTGTGGAGCAAAGGGGGATTAGAGCCAATAAGGAGTGAGCAATCGAAGACTCATTAGTGGAATAATGAAGGATTACCTCAACGAATTCACAATGAACCCAGAGACACATGGTGACAACACTAGGCTAGGACAGTTTTAGGTCATTATTTTAGGTAAGTTGCCACAAAAGATTTGTGGGAGCGCAAGCACTTGTGGTTACGTGGGCCTGAACACTTAAGAAGCATATCAGAATGCCTAATCCAAATAGGTAAGCTGTATGAGGAACAATCAGCGAAGAACAACAGACATTATCAGAAGGATTTTCATGGTGAATGGTTAGTGGCAGTGACGAGAGAGAGAGAGAGAGAGAGAGAGAGAGAGAGAGAGAGAGAGAGAGAGAGAGAGAGAGAGAGAGAGAGAGAGAGAGAGAGAGAGAGAGAGAGAGAGAGAGAGAGAGAGAGAGAGAGAGAGAGAGAGAGAGAGAGAGAGAGAGAGAGAGAGAAGAAGGTTAGTTGCATATGCTATCGATAAGGAGACACACAGGACAAGTCACATGCTCAACACTAGCCACGACCAAAGACATCTAACTGGTAAATGAAGAAAGCAGCTTGCTGCAGGGCAGCTTGAGCTTCAGTGTATGCACAACCTTAAACAAGAGAGTTGGTACTCTTACAGTTCGACAGTAGTCTGAGATTTCTTGAGCACACGAACACAATTAGTGATTGTGCGCCTACCGAGACACCAAGGACAACACATCTTGGCGACCTTAACCAACATCTGTACTTTGACTGGAGGTTTTTTCTACTCAACCCTCTAGATCAGAACGGCCTGGCAGCAATTTAGCTTCCATGGCTTCAGTGGCAATTGTATGCTCCGACAGTGCTACAGCTCGTCAGTCAGTCTTTAAACATACAACCATTTGTTGGGAGTCCTATAGTGTGGCACAGATTTGACCCTATGGATAAGAGCGCTGATCTTATGCCTGGATTGTCGCAGTTATGGGGAGAAAAAATGGAAAGGCATGGAAAGAAGGAGCCACCTGAATTTCAGGCGTCTAGTAGACACCTCTGTTTTATCTGTGGTGGCGACATTGTGACGTATATTAGACTTGCAGGGAGTCGTACGGAACCCTTGGAGTTGGTCAACATTAACATTTCGATGACCGACAGGTGTTCAACAGAAATGTACCCAGAAACGTGCGGTCGAATTCTGCGAATTTCAACATCACACGAGGCCCTTATTTCGCATTGGCGAGCGCATATGAACAGGTTTGGACTGACTGCATTAAATGGGCATGACCAATTCTCAATCGTCTCCGTATACGAAGATCAGGAAGGACGTGAATTCAACTACGCTAATGTCCATATACTATCTCAAGCAAGAACAAAGAACGAACGCAAAACTATGGGGGTGTGGTACTGAACTGACAACCGACACATTGAAATCGATTCAATCTACGGACGTCTCAGGAACAAAGAACCCAGTAAAAGGACACCATTTCGGATAAAAATCATGACCACGGGAACCAACACCCAGACCGAAGACGAATCAGTTGCGTAAAGTAAAAAGGTACCCTATGAACCAATCAAGACCCAAAACACAAAAGAATTGGCAAACGGACTCATCGAATTCAAGAAAGAAAGCTACTGACTCGACCATCCAAGTCGCAAGAAGAAAAGCTGGAACGCAACACAACATGGACCGATCGAAATAAAGGAACATAACGACAGAAATGGAGATTTTCAACGGATGCGAGGGAATCAGACCACGACGCAACCCAAATCCCGAAAAGACCAATCGAATTGCGTATCACCTAATCACCAAACCAACCACCAACTACTCTTTAGAAGCTATATGAACTCAAGCAGAAATGGGGGATTACTAACCCAACCGCACACCGATAATCGTGATGAGACGTTTGCAAGCCAAGTGCCAAGCTTGGCAAACAGATCAGCTGCTACCTGATAAACAGCTAATAAGACCACTCGAGCTACCAATATTTAGACATGCAGCCAACAAGAACAAACGCAGTCAAGACGGTACACAGTTTGACATACCAATAAGTAAGATTCCTAATAAAAGAACCAAAAAGTTGAGGATTGCTGAATAAGCGCTTAAAAACAATCAAGCACTTTTCCTAGAGCGACCTGAAACGGCAGAGTGGGAATATAAAAAAAAGTAACTCTGGCGAAATAAACTTATTTTCAAATTAGGTTGGTGCTACCAAGTGAATCACAGAGCTTGATTACGCTGATGACCTCGTCGTCCTGAAGAAAAACGCCCCAGAAGAGTAGCCTACCCTATGGTCTGGTGGCTAGGCTGGAACTCAATCATGGAATGACGAAATTCTTTACCACACATACATGGATGTCCAGTCCAGCGCTATTAGTGTTAACCGATATAGCCAATAAACCAAGTCGAGTCCTTCAAGCAGCGTTCAGCTGTAACACCTTTTCGGTGCCTAACTGCCATGCTACCCGAAGTAGGCACTAGGACTGGGATACTGCCGGGTTGCCCAAGCCTAGACAGGGGAAGTCTAGTGGCGGAGGTCGGATTCGAACCACGGAACTTCCGGTCAGTAAATTCGGGCTCTAACCACTTGGGCCATCTCGCCCCAACGTTCGCATCGACAACGCCAGGATGACGTTCAGACACCTTTGCACCGCTCTGCTGAAACCAGTATTCGAACAGAGCTCTGTGTGCACATTACGAATATCCGATCTGTGCAGACATACGCCTCAGATGAGACAGCCTCTCCGATTAATCTTTCGAAAACTCCAAGTACTTGACCACTAGTGTCAAAGGAGAGTAATCAAAGTACGTTGGAACTACGTGGTACTCAATGATATCAGACATACTGTTATAATATCCTACGTCTCTTCAATTTGACTCAGCAACCCGGACTACGGTCCTCTTCAAAACAAGCTCGGAACGATCCAAACTCTCCCTGCCGCAAATCCCGTTCAAAATTGCGCCATGTACCGGGGAAAGATTGAAAACCTGACCCCGTTGAACTACATGGTTCGCAGAAGCCTCACGGGTCAAACTATGGAACAGAAACCGGGTAGCGTTGTGCTCAGAGTTAGCTGCAATCACGCTTCATGGGCAGCAGTGATCCGGGATAGTCTTGGAGACGAATCATCGTTCTTCATGGGAAAGTAACCATAAACTACACCCAGTTGAGAGTATTTCGAAGATTACCTACAATTTGAGGTTCAAGGTACATGTAAGGCTGACGGGAAGTCAGAGACTACGCTGAGCTGGTGAACCACAAGAATGGCGAAACCGGTAATGAGTTGTCTGAGTTTCCAGGTCAAAAGGGCAAGCCGAGGCGGAGAGACCTTTTAGGTCCTGTTTTGCAGATTAGCTGAAAGCGCTCCTGTGCATTCCGAGCCCCGTTAGCTTCCTCCGTTTCTCGAACTTTCTGACGCCCCTACGTTTGTCTGTCTACACACATGGGAATGTTTCCATTGTCGCCTGGTCGATGTTTTAGCCAAATTATACTGTAAGCCGGAGGGACAGAGCGCCTTGAGATAATAATGGTCCTGAGGTCCGGTGGATTCCACGCACGTGCTCGGAAATACTACAGGAAGTCGCCAAGGGTCACGTATAGCCATGGTTGTCTCGTTGTAGTGGATGCGTTGCACAAAAGGTTGGGTAGGTTTGGTGACTTTGGCTCGAAAAGCATTTCTGCTGCTGAATGGGGACCTGGTTTATGGAGCTTACCCGAACAAGGACGCGATCCAAACCACCCTGAGTATTCCAAAACGATTGACACTCAAATGCTGAACCTCACCGTCGGTGGCTGATAGCAATCTGGTCAAACCGCCTCAGAGGCCGCTCGGCTGCAGGGGCACGCCAGGTAGCACAACGGAGCCCAGGGCGTCTAGATGCAGGACTGCTGAGAAACAACTGGGGATCAGTACAGGAAAAGTTCTCAAGGCGCGTTTTACACGTACACTGAAATCTCCTGCTAATATAACTAGTTGGGCGAGATGGCCCAAGTGATTAGGTCTGTGGTTCGAACCCGACCTCTGCTTCTCGACTACCCCTGTCAAGGCTTGGGCAACCTGGCAGTATACCAGCCCTCATGCAACCTTCGGGTGGCATGGCAGTTAGGAACCGGAAGGGTACTACAGCTGAACGACTTTATAACTAGTGATGGACAAATGTCTTTCAATCAATCAGAGTTGCAGTTCGTTGGTGTTCAACTGGAAGCGTTTAGTATTTCGACCAGCGGGGTCTTTTTTTACCAAAGCGGAACGTCAGACACCACACAGTCGCCTGTTTACAGTTATCGAGTCGAGTAATAAAGCCTCAACTCGCAAACTTAGGCGCGGTGCAACCCGCAGAAGTAGTTTCCGGATCATAGTTTGTAGCGTGCCATAAGTTTAACAAACGTACTCGAGCTTCAGAGGTGCACCGGAGGTCAATGGATAGAGTATAAAGAGTGCGCACAGGACAGGCTTGTTAGCCAATCTGTATAAGAGTTCGAGCCTCAAAGACTGCGATAAAATATGAGGACGATGATGTTGGTGTGCAGTGTGTCGATTCCCTAGGTATCTGACTGGCGTTCCTGTAGCTAGGATATAAATAAGAGTGACGGCCAAGTGTTAAAGCAGAGCAATTAAGAAAGAGAAGTGAGCCAAGGTGAGAGGCGTCAGCAGTCGCATGTTTTCGTTTGTCCACCTTGCTGTATGCGGTTATCTGGCCGATGTCATCATGCGAAAGCTGATGTGGCACAAAGGGAGTTTTATATGTGAGGTTCATGGCTGTATGCAACTCAGACACCGCCATAGCATTCAAATCTAGACAGGGGAGGATGATTAAGGTCCTCCACGAAAGCTTTTAACTCAAAACCTGACCATCAGGTAGCGGTGGTTGGTGTGACACTAGCTCAAATGTCGGGGAACACATTGCCACATTTGTTCCGACCACCAATCTGTGGGGCCAGTAGACTGTGCTTGTCTGAACATCTGAACCAAGCTGATTGGATGTTGGATGGGTATTCTCCGATTACTGAGTTATGGAAACCGTGGCATCACGATAGGATCCTGTCTGTTCGCAATAGACGAAATCCCGCACGTTAGTCCTAGCCTGTGAACGTACACACGACGGAATGTGCAAGCACAAAAGTGCATAGCTCGTTTTATTTCAGCTAATGGTTAGTAAAGGAGAAAAAAGCTCCCGATGTGATCACGCGACAGAACTAGCCTGGGAAAAGCAGGATCAGTATGAAGCGTCGTTAATGCGCGATTTGCGGTGCACCTCCACATTTCGTTGTCAAAATAAAAAAACAATGCACCAACGAGCTCGCTTGTTCACTTGCAAGTGCATGGGGTCAGAACTAGTAACAGCGGATACTACGTAGAAAAAATCGGTGGCCAAACAAGGTGGCGTCACTTTGAGGAGGGTTTTTGACCTTGTGAGATTGTGTTTAGCATCCCATGTCCAATTCAACTGAGTGTCCCAAATTCCTGTTGGGATTTTGACGAGTAGTTGATTTAAAAACCAAAAATGTCCCTGAATGCAATAAGTTTGCTCAAGAAGTTTGTTTTAATGAGGTACTATTGGATGAACAAACACACAAAGACTTAGCTTACCTGAATACAGGCGATCGCCGCATCTGCCACATAGTCCGTTATCGAATCGGAAGTGTTGAGCACCTTAATTGCATGTGGTCGGCCTTCAATGTACACAACACGAGTATGTTCAGCTCCCAAAAAGTTCACGAATGGAGTCGGGTCTATGGTTGCCGACATAATTATGATCTGAATGGTGGGAAGACAACCACAGAAGGAGAGATGTGCATTGAGAATATTTGTCTTTGGCTGAAACAGCCAGGCAAACCCATAAACTCAAAACGTCATGGTAACTGGTAGAGTGAACCTAGAAGTTAGCCGAATAGAGGCATAAAAAGTTACGTCCAGAGGGTTAAATTAGACTCTTCAGGTGAACAGCTTATGCTGATATTCCAGATTTAGGGACCTATGAGAACTGGCCTCGCTGAAATGACAAACTTTGCAGACGCGAAGTACTGGCCCGACCGCTTTCAGTGGGGTATGCAACAGGGATGTATGTAACCGTTGGTTTGTTAGCTGAGCTGGACAGTTTGGCTACAAATGTTTCAATAATGGCGGAGGTAAGATCATCAGTGCGTTGAAGTTGGAAGCTCAATAAACCATATACATGAGATGAATTGGAAGATGGACTGGAAGTTCATGAGGTCGTGAGCCGGAAGCTATGGTGTGGTGCTGAATCAATGAAACGGTCACCTTAGATTTTTCATGTACCACGAACCAACAGTTGTAAGTGTACCGTACCGGTTTGGGGATTAGTATGTCATCACTATTCCCATGCCAATGGGATCAGTCATATCCATCCTCGTTGTCATCACCACAGATTCAAGAGGTCTACAGTTATGTTGCATTTCCCCTCGCTGAAGATGAAGTAACGGAGGGGATAACTGCGCTTTGTAAGCGACAGATTCGGCAGATACGAACAGGGATGGTACATCCACTTGGGACATTTTATTTGCACCACGTAGCGGGATAGTAATGAAGACAATAGCTCAAATACATGGAAGCCGGTGGGTGGGCGACCGAGCCCCGAATGTCAGCATCCCAAATAATTCGTGTTGCGTCTCTGAGTTGGCAAAACAAGGGGGATGATAGGTACTAGGGTGAGTTTGTGGGTGTCGTTTGTGAAGCACAATCACACCTTCTCTTGGCCGTTTGAGCATACACATGGTTAGGCTGAAGTAAACATGCTGTGCCACTCTGCAGGTTGCGCCTGGTTGTGCAAAGCCATAGGTGTACCATCAAGCAATGAACTAAGGACACCAAGTATATTGCATTCGCGGCAAACTCCACGAGTATGTCACATCGGAGCGACAATTATCTTCTTTTTATGGTCTCATTGGAATACGACTCGCTCTCTGCAAGCCCAGAGACCGAAAACAAGAACAAATGAAACCAGGCTCTGAAAATGCACGCGGTACGAGCCCGCGTGCATGCAACACTAAATAATAATAATAATAATAATAATAATAATAATAATAATAATAATAAGTGGGCACCCTTTCGGGGCCTAACTGTCATGCCACCCGAAGGAAGCCCGAGGGTTGAAGTAATGCTAGGTAGCCCAAGCCTAGAAGGGGAAAGTCAAAAGGCAGAGGTTGGATTCGAACCACGGACCTTCCGGTCAGTAAATTCGCGCTCTAACCACTGAGCTATTTTGCACCTGAGACAGCTACCACTGTAACAGTAATACTACTGAAGGGGAGGCATGCGAGTAGTATGGTTTCTTCTTGTAAATTCGCTTTGCGTCTCTTGAAAAGGGAGATCTGGTGCGGAATTTGTAGAGTCGCTTTGTAGCATTTGCTTAGACTTGAACAACAGTCAATGAATATCCAGGAAAGTTCAGAAAGACGCGTTCAAAGAGAATATGGATATTCAGTTTTTGTAAACAAGATGCATATGAGTTTTGCTTCCCTGTCCAATAGTCTGTAACTGTTCAGTTGGCATTTTCTAATAAATAACTCAGCAGCGAAGTCCTTCTTCCTTTCACCACATGTAAATTCAAAACCGGACGATCCAGGTTCGATCACCACCAATGACCACGCGCTGATCGCCAACGGCCTCCCTCACCATCATTTTAATAATCAGCAAAATACACCTTTGGTGCATGTCGGCAATCTGACTTATGTTTTCTTACCAAGTCCGTTTTTGTCTACTTAGTTCATCGTATGACTAGCGAATGTGATAAAGTCTACTTACTGACCGGAAGGTCTGTGGTTCGAACCCGACCTCAGCATCTAGATCGCTCCTGTCTAGCATTGGGCGACCTGGCATTATCTCAGCCCTCGAGCTTACTTTAGGTGGCATGGCAACGAGGAACCGAAATGATGCCACAGCTGAACGATGGTTGACTGTTGTTGATCGCGACCGACACTACAATGGGTCTATCGTGTCGATCGCATGTAGCCCACGAAAAGTGCCTGCAGGAAAATAATAGAGTTGTCTACTTAGTTCATCGTATGACTAGCGAATGTGATAAAGTCTACTTACTGACTGACCGGAAGGTGGTTCGAACCCGACCTCAGCATCTAGATCGCTCCTGTCTAGCATTGGGCGACCTGGCATTATCTCAGCCCTCGAGCTTACTTTAGGTGGCATGGCAACGAGGAACCGAAATGATGCCACAGCTGAACGATGGTTGACTGTTGTTGATCGCGACCGACACTACAATGGGTCTATCGTGTCGATCGCATGTAGCCCACGAAAAGTGCCTGCAGGAAAATAATAGAGCAGAACTAACCTTCAGCAAAGGCAGGAGAGGCTTTCTCTGAACAAGAGGTGAGTCCGCTTTTTGATTGTCACTGGACGAGAGGCCACTCGTCCCAGAACCCAGTGAATTGCGTGACAACGCCTGCGCTCGCGCACGACGATGAGCGGCAGTTAGTACGACACCGAACAGGACATCTGTGTTCAAACTGCGCTCGTGTGCTTCGTCTAGAATGACATAATGGTACCGCGACAGATCTGGGTCAAGAATTGCTTCACGAAGGAGCATCCCATCAGTCATGTAGCGAATACGCGTGGTGCGTGGATCGGAGACATCCTCAAATCGAACACAGTAACCCACTGGCCCCGTACCAACAGCACCCCGGCCCAACTCCTCAGCAACGCGGCATGCCACTCCAATAGCTGCTACCCGGCGAGGCTGTGCGAAAAAGGAAGTTTCAACGCTTAGTGAAGCTATGAATGTTGAAGGCAGATCACAGAAATGCGAGCGGGTAATGATGGCAGCTTCGGAGTCACATGTCAAGTGAAATTTGCTCCCAAGAAACTCACTAAGTGGGAAAAAATCTGTTAGTATGAAATACGTGTTCTGGGAAAGACGACTCGCGGATAAATTCAGACAGCACCTCCCAAAAAGTGGTACTTGATAGACATGTAACTCCAAGACGGTCACCTAAGACTAGGAAACTAACGAGCCTGTCAATCGTTTACCGACTGAGGTTTTAACAACGATGGATTAAAACCATTAGAGTTGCATAAGTTATGAACCGGCTTCCCTCCAAACTGTGAAGACCTCTTACATTATCCCAACATGGAAGTCAATAGAAAGAATTGTGTGCTTGACGAGAAGTTTTCCTCTCATATGGAAGAGTACTACGTATTGCCAGAGCATTCCATAGCCAAACGGTGATATTTTCACGGACCCTCGTTAGCGAAGAAGTAGAGGAGGGTACAGCATAAAAAGGCAAGACTTTTAGCTTGAGCTATATGGGTACCTTCCCGCGTTGCATGTGTAGACATGGTCTCTTATTTGTTCAGAAGCTAGTCGATATGAAACACATCGCGGTGGTCCTTCCAAAGGGAATGGTCCCCTAAAACAGGTCAGGGAGACAGCTACAGTCACACATTTTTCTCTGCACTGCAGGATAACAGCGGATTTTCATCTCAAAGAGTGAACTCTTCCAGTAGTGAATGAGTTTTTACGGATTCAACAGCGTGCGCTACCGGACATCAGCGTGTAATACCGGCCCACAAGATACCCCCTAAAATAGGTCATTCCGCCTGCACATTCGCAACCCGTTCTCCAAATAGAGCTTCTTCTGAGGAGCTACCCGGACAACCACTTCTTCCACGGGGATACTCCGCAGATAGCTTGCCAGCATCCCCAGGATAAAACGTTAAGAAGCGGTAAGCTGCAGTAAACCCGGGCTTGTAGTGGTTTGCTGCATCAAATGACAATGAAGCAGATGAAGTTCTTGAGAAACCTTGTTGGCTCCTTTCATAATGGCCTTTTGTGTTAACTTCGGAATACTTTCGTATAAATGAATGTTTGTAACCATAACACACCGAAAAACTGTTGCAAAACCGATCAAGTATCACAACAGGGATATGGAAAACACAAAAATTAACATCCACGGCCATGTACATAGTATTCGTTTACCAGGTGGCATGCGTGACACGAAAGGCGAACGCGTGGATGGAGTTACTTCAATTCAACCGGAAAATGCGCAAGATTTGGGCACACTGGTCAAACACAGTGTGATGCCAAAGTCAATAACAAGCTTAGAGCCCATCCGACCCCGTGCTGACGATGCCACCTCGATTGTGGATAAAGCATTTGCAATCCAACTATTAAGCCCACTGAACAGGCTAACAAACAGGCTTAGAGACAACAAACGTTCAGCCAGTCAGTCGTTTATCCAATTATGAACTATGGGCCCAGATACAGTGGTTCAAGCTACTGCAGTTCCATCTACGTTGAATAATGAGAATGCTTACATGACAGACATGCAGTATAAACTATAGAAAAATCGGTTCAATTGTCAAGTTGTTTCATACTTCTGTGGTAGCATGGAGCAAAGCAGCCGCATGTTGAAGGTGAGAGCTTTGATTCTGGACTGCCATTGGCCGCGTAACGGAGATGTGCCTGTCAATTGTCACCAACAACTGCGGCAGCTGTCAGTGCGATTACGTTGGAAGATAACGGCTTTCGTGTTTGTCGCAAAGATTAACGACATCCGGGTAGTTTCCATTCAATACATGGCTAAATTTAGGGTGTTTTGTGAGCCAAACGGTTCGGTATACGAAATGCATGGCAAAAGCAGGGTAACTTATAGAATGTGAGGATTACTGTACCTGAAAACCCCTTGGCATAATTCAGCCTTACTGATCACCCCTACCGATTTCCCACTAAACCGGGGTGATGCACCAATTACATATTTCTGGTCTACAAAGTAGGATACAGCCAAAAGAGGACGACGCCATGGATGTCAGTGGTTAGCAAACGTTGCTCTGGCTTGCTTGATCCGGGAATTTGTTCTCTCCTTTACCAGCATGCCGAGACTTACGTCATTGCTCAGACAGGTGAGTTTGTCTACTGCACGGATCAGTTTATTTTCTAGCATGAGTTTGGACCCAGTCAAAGCCATTATTGCAATAGCACCTCATACTACATGACTCATCTTTGTTTAAAATGGTTTGCACTTCCAGAAGGCGATATTACGGCATACTCAGTGTCTGTGATCAAATGCCACAAGAGCGCTTTGATCCCCGAGGTAGCCGGGAAGGAGATTCAAGCGATATATAGATAAGGAAGAGAAAGGCAGACGAATGCCAATAGATGCGGTGAACCAAAGCAAAAGCTTGACATGAATCTGCAGGTGTTTAGGAGAGTAGGCGTACAGGCCCCTTATAAGAGACAAGAACTTGAAAGGACAACAAATAAATAAAACAAACAACAGTGGCAGAAAGCGAGGGCACGTACTGATAGATATCACTGAATACGAGCAACCCAACATAACTACCTGGGTAATAGCTACAACGCCATTCGAAAGTAGATTTCTCTCGAGCAGGAACTGTGGGATCTGTGTTGTTTTTCCTGAGCCCGTGGAGCTGACGATGATACAGTGCTGCGCAGATTGAATGGTCTCAATGAGAGTTTCTCTGTGTTTCCATATGGGCAGCCGTTTCCGATACTCAGCCAAGGACTCACGGTTTTTCGGTGAGGGGATCGACGAAGATGGGCATGAAGAATTCGAGGCTTCAGGGGGTAAGGAACATGCGCAGGCATTTGTAGAATAGTGAATAAACAGGAGCTAAATTTAAGACTCTTTGAAAGAACATGGTTCGACCAAATATGTTGATTAACGAACATTTCACGATAAGATGCACCTAAGGATAGTCACTAGCACAGCGTTTCTGAAGATCTTGTTCTGTATAAATGAAACCACAAAAAGGTTTTCCGCTCGTTATGCCTCAAAAAAGCGTGCTAAAGGATCTTACGTTTCAGAAATAGCACCGAAGATATCAACTGTACACTTCACTTTGACAGTAACTCCGTTTAACCTAAAGTTATCCCATTTGGCTTTCGACTTCAACTTCCTGGGTTGTCTAGCAAAGTACAACGAAACAGTGTGTAGGTTTTCTTCACTGGCTGCAAATACTCGTTTCATGTGTCTTCCTCATGCTACACTGTTACTACCCAAATCACTTCAAGAGAAGCTAGAGTGGTTCTGAGCGCTGGAAAAACACTCCTTCCTTGATTTGGAGGTCCATTGACGTTGAGGAGTGAAATTGCGAACCACTCTCCTCAGGAGTGTTCATGGTGACGGATGAGGTTACCACACTGTCGGTGGATGAACGGTTCCATGACACCATCTGGCATGTATGATCGTCCATCAAATAAGCAACACATTTAAGAATCGGTGTATTCTCTCGAACATTGGACATAATCCAGTTAGCGCTGTTAGGCTTTAACTCAAGCGCAGCCTGTGGACAGGT